GGACACCCAGGGGAGGAAGGGCAGGGGCAGGCAGCACCTCCTCCGCACATGGGCACCGAGTCACGCACACCTACACAGGGCCAGAGTCACACCAGCACACGCAGTTGCACACACCCGCATATGTGCAGCTGCACATGCAGGCTCACACAGGCATATATACAGTCTCTCCCTTGCACATGCACACAGTCACACGTGCACACGCTCACATGGAGTCACCCACACACAGTATCACACAAGAGCATGTACAGTCACACGCGCACGTGCAGATTGATGGGAGCACATATGCAGTCACAAATGCACTCAGCCACAGACACGGTCAACACCCAAGCACATACACAACTACACAAATGATTGCATACCAGAACAATCCGACCAAAACCACCCTTGTCCTGGAAGCGGGCGCCAGGCAAGCCTGTTCACCAGAGCTGTGGCAGCGGTCTGTTGGGACGCGGCCCATCCTACGCCAACACAGAAACGGACCCAAACTTCAGCTTCAGCCTCAGCCCAAAGCTGGCCAGAGCCACGAGCCTGCCTCTTCCAGCTGGCCAGCCAGCGCAAGCCCTCTGCAAGCAAGTGGTTGATCGGGTGCCCTGAGCTCCTGGGCAGATGCTGGCCACGGCACAGGGCTGGCCCTCCCTGCTCACCAGGAGCATGAGAGGTTTCCATCCTGGGGCTGCTTCAGCTGGAGGTGCTGAGCACCCACTCCATGCACTGCAAACGATGGCAGCAGCCACCACAGCTCCGGTGCCTGCACAGTCCCAGGCGTGGCCACAGCAACGGATGGGCTGGGTCACTCTCCCAGCTGGAGAGCAGGGACAGCTGCAGGAGCGTGGCTGCAGCTCCCCGCCCTGGCCAAGGGACTCAGCCAGGGCAAGGGTAGATTGAGCAAGCCCAGATCCATGGAGACCTCCATGGAAGCTGGGACCACAGGCAGGGCAGTCCATGAGCAGTCGTGCTGGGCACCTGTCAGAAGAAGGTGGTGGCAGAGAGTCCAGAAGCCTCTACCATGCCTCTTCACCCTCCACAGCTATCACTCACCCAAGCTCCAGTAAGAGACATGCCCCATGTTTCGCACCGGTGCCGGTCACTGTGCCCCAGCCCCTGCCACCCCACCTGGGCTCCTGGGGCTGGGGCTGCTATGACACTGTGCTGCGGTGGTCGGATGTCTGTATTTCAGCTGTGCTCCTGTATTTCAGCACAGGGCAGGGCCACCATGTCATCCCCAGGGGCGGGGAAGGGAAGGATTTAAATAGGGCGCTTGCCTCAGCTGCTCATCCTGGCTGAGAGGCGGCGGGAGGAGGAGGAGGACCAGAGCCTGCCCGGGAGCCAGCCGCTCTGGATACGTGTCCAGCAGGTAGGACAGAGCCCATCTGCTGGGGGCACCGGGGCCACCACACAGCCCTACTTGGGCATAGCACCCTCTGTGCAGATACCAGGGGCCTGCAAGGGATGCAGGGACCTTCCCTCTACCCGAAAACCTAGTGTTTGGAGGGCAGCTGCTGAGGCCCAGGGGACTGGTGAGCAGGAGGTCTCCAGGCAGCACTCAGTCCTTTCCAAGAAGGGACAAAGTGACAGAGTGGCACCAGGGCTGGATGGAGCTGCTGCTCCATGCCATGCGCTTTGTGTCCTCAACACTTTGGCTGAGCAGATCGGCACATTGGGATATGGGAGGGAAGCAACCAGAGCTGTAGGACTGACCTGCCTGAGCCTGCAGGCACCCGAGACAGGAGGCTGCCATCTCACGCAGTGGGTCTCGGCTGGGAACCCGGTGGCAGGAGGCTGCGAGGCGAGCACCAGGCTGGGGGGACTGATGCAATTTCACTCCCCAGGGTGCAGGCAGGGCTCGGGACCATGGCACTGCCAGGCCACCCCTGCTCACTCCGGCTAGAAAACCGCTTCCACTGGGGCCTCTTGGGCTGGGCTGCTGCAACAGCTTGAAAGGACAGCCAGCTCCTGCCCCGGGAGCTGTGTGTGCAGCCAAGCCCCAGCATCAGGAGATCTGATTAGAGACCAGCTAATGATAGCTTGCAGTTGGGCAATGTCTTTCCAGTATAGGGTGTTTACACGACATCCATGCCCTACATAGGTGTCGCCTGCTCCAGGGTGTGACACAGCACTCCGCTTTGTCCTGGACCGAGTGCCACCCGAGCAGGCAGCACAACCAGCCCATCACCTCCTGGGAGGTTTCAGCTGCATCAGGCAGGGGCGGGCAGAGAAGCTGCTCTCAAGGGCTGGAGCCACAAGGTGGACCAGAGCCGCTGGCTGTAAAAGAGCCTGAAGCCATGGGCAGGGTCCCCAAAGAGGCAGGGGCTGGTCTGTAACTGCTGGGTTATACCTCTCCCCTACCATGATCCATCTACACCAGCATCAATCCAATATTTAAATGGATGAAAAGCAATGACTCAGAGACTTTTAGACCAGTTAGGTAAACAGTCAGAGAATTAATCTGTGACCCTGATAATGAGTTAAACATATCATTAACGTCAGTCACTGTAGTTTATGGGAGATGGGTGTTCCCAAAGAAATGTTTTGGGTTTCATTTTTGCTGTTTTTACAAGGCTGTGGCCTCGTCACCACACAATGTTGTGGATGCTGAAAGTTTACAGGGCTTCCAGAAGAGACCAGGTGACCGCATGGGAGACATCCCTCGAGGATTACTACACAGGCCCAAAATGCGTCCAGCTCATGAAATCCACTGAGCTGAAAATAGTCAGAGGTCAATGTAGAAACTGGGGAAATATTACACACGTTGCCCCATTCTTTATCCTTCCCCTGTTGTCCATTTATGGCTCAAGATGGAAACAAGACTCTGGGCTACACAGACTGGCCTGACTCTGCATGGCTGTTCTGATGTCTCCTTGAGAGCACAGCTGCCTTCCTCCAAAACACTTCAGACAGTGCAACTGGTGTCTTGGCTAAGGATGCTGCATTTTTATGGATGAGGGGGCGAGGGTAACCGCTGGATTGACTGTGACTGGTCACGCTAATTGCAAAGTACATGCCTGAATGGGAGAGACCACTGCAAGCAGCCACTTACAGCAGGCTCCCTGAGGTACCTGTTCTTAGTCCCTCATTACTGTCTAATTTATATGTATAAACACACATATAATTTTATCTACCATTTTACCTACATAACAATTAGCTAATAACAAAGACTGACCATTCATGACCTCCTGCGGCACAGGAGCTAGAAGGTCCCAGTGAAAAAACTTTCCCTGTTGAGTGTGATTAAATCACAGGCCTTGTTGCCACACGATGTTGTAGTGGCTGACGCCAAACCTGGACTCGCAGACATGACCGCAGAGGTCCATAGAGGTCTGTAGCCTGTGGTGGCTATAGACAGTGGTCCAGGGCAAGCCTGACCCAGGGTGTCTGGAGGGCTGTGTGCCAGAGGGCTTGGCCAGAGGGAGCATCTCTCTCTACCATCCTGTTCCTAGAGCAATTTCCCTAAATATCTGGAGAGAGCACCTTGGACCTGCTGCAGAGAGAGTATTTAGTCAGACAGACCCTTCCATTGACTCTGCCCTTGTCCCCAGTTGCTGGAACTGGTTAGAATGGTCCCCAGGATGGTGTCTGGCACCAGCCAGCTAGCCCTCCCATGGACAACGCCTGTGTGCAGTTCAGAAGTCAGCGTGGGCCAGGACCACTGCCAGCATGCCTGTGGCAGCAGAACTCAGTTTTGGAGGACAGAAGAGTGTAACAGGATGGGGGCTGGGAGCTCTGCCAACCCAATGGCCTTAGAACAAGCAGACACCTAGGCACACCTCAGCTTCAGTAGAGGCACAGCCTTAGAGAAGGTCTCTGCCAGCTCGGACCCACTGCTGCATGTGGATCTTACCAGCCACTCATCTGATGCTAAGACCATTCCCATGTCCTGTGTCATGCCAGGGTGGTGTGGGATCATACAGCAGGAAGAGAGAGCTCCACGGACAGCCATGAGCCAGGCTGTGTCTGCCACCCTGCTGAGTGCTGGCGGCGTCCCACCATGCTCACAGCCTGCCCATGACCAGCACGAAGCCAGGCAGCATGATGGTCTAAGTGGACAAGAGCAGAAGATGACTTGCAGCACTAGCCAGCACTTCTTTGCAGCTGGATAGTCGCTGGTGGCAGTCATATCAGGAAGTCACTGCTGTTTCTTGGCATGACCTGTGCTTGTCAAATGACCACCAGCTAAATCTGCCAGCCCCAGGGCAGCACAGGAGCCAGTACTGAGGGAACAGGGAGGTGAGCAGCCGCCATGCTTCCTGCTGGCACCCTGTGGCATCAGCCCAAAAGCGAGCAGTGGTTGTGTCACCCAGGAACAGAAGAGGAAGGTTGCAGAGGCCACAGGTTTGAGGCAGTGTCAGGCTCTGGGAGAGCAGGCAGCTCCCTGGGGGCCCAGAGTGGGGCCAAGTTATCCATGCTGCTGATATGATACTTCTTTGCGGACTGCGTGTCTCTCACTAGACCTGCCGCTCTGTGACATGGCCCTCAAACCTCTCTGCCTGCAGGTGCCTGAGGTGCTGGTCAGCTCCGCTCCCCTTGTCTGCTCTCCTTCACAGCACTATCTGTTTTCCTGCCCTGAGTGCAGGAGCTCTTTGGCATAGGCATCAAGCCTTCTGGTCACAACAGTGCTGCATCTCTGCGTGAAGGCTACCAGCTGCACAGAGATGTGTAGAGCCTGCCACTGCAGCTGGGAGGTGCACAGCGTGCTGAACAGGCAAACACACCGGCTGGGCTGTCACTGCTGCTTCCAGAGAGCTTTCATCTGCTATTTGAGAGGGAGGTGAACAAGGGGCACTCTTGGCCCTGAAATTTCTTCTGAGAGAGGAGGACGGCAGCAAAACCCCAGACCCCACTCCTCGCTTCTCTCTGGGCTCCTGCTACCACATCCAGGGAGATGGCTTTCTTCACACACACCATAAAAACTGCACAAGAACCTATGTCTTACCAAGTTGTTTCTTTCTCTCTCCTCAGACAAACACGGTGCCCCACAGTAGCAGGACTGTTCCCCAGAGACAATGCAGAAGATGAGTGGACCCTCTCAGAACAAGTCAAGCAACATGGGAAGTAACCTGATTGCAGATGGACACAGAGAGATAGGTGGGGGTGGGAGTAACTTCATAGCTGGAGTCTTCATCCAGGCCATGAATAAGAAGATGAGTATCTATGATGCCATGATGAGGGGGCTCCTGACACCAGGTACAGCCCTGGTGCTGCTGGAGGCACAGGCTGCTTCAGGGTTCCTCACCGACCCCGTGAGGAATGAGAAACTATCGGTGAAAGAGGCACTGACTGCAGGACTCATAGGCAGAGATTTTTATGAGAAGCTGCTGTCAGCAGAGGGAGCCGTGACAGGGTACACAGAGCCGTACACAGGACACAAGATCTCCCTCTTCCAGGCCATGAAGAAAGAGTTCATCGTGAAGGAACATGCTATCCGCCTGCTCGAGGCCCAGATCGCCACCGGCGGCATCATTGACCCTGTGTACTGCCATCGCATCCCTGTGGACGTGGCCTATCAGCACGGCTACTTTGACCAGGAGATGTGCCAGTTTCTTTCTAACCCCGAGAATCAAACAAGAAGTTGCTTCGACCCCAACACTCACGAAAACCTCACTTATACACAGCTCCTCCGCCGCTGCGTGCCTGACCCAGACACGGGGCTGCTCATGCTCCACGTGATGGATAAGGGCTCCGTGCTCTACCAGCTAAACAAGGATGCCCGGAAAGCCCTGCAGGCCGCCCGCACCACCGTCAGTGTGGGGCTCTTCCAGGGCCAGAGCGTCACCATCTGGGAGCTCCTCTTCTCCCGCTATATCCCTGATCACCAGAGAGAGGAGCTGCTGAGGAAATACAAGGCGGGGACTGTGACCATCCCGGAGATGATCAGCCTCCTTACCACCATCATCACGGGGGCAGAAATGGAAAACGGAGATCTGAGCTCATCCACAGTTATACCCAACAACGAGGTGGGAGCATCACAACCAGTTCAGGAAACGCACTGCCAGGAGCAACAGTTGAGAAAGTCCTTGAAGTCTGCAACCATCTATGTCACTGCTGGTGAGTTCCAGGGGCAAAACATTTCCTTGTTGGATCTGCTCTTTTCCAAATACATCCCTCAAGGGAAGCGTCAGGAGCTGCTGGAGCTATACAGAGCAGGGATACTGACCACAGAACAGGTGGCTACTGTAGTCACCGCCATCATAAACCGAACAGAAGCTGCAAATGCCGTGCTCATGGCAAATGCCAGAAGTCCACACAAGGCAGTGACAAGGGCAGAGGAAAACGGAGATGATTTTTCAACACAAGAGACACAACTAGATAACATCTTGAAGTCTACCACCATTGATATGCCAGCTGGTGAGCTGCAGGGGAGGCAGGTCTCTGTGTGGGACCTGCTCTTCTCTGACTACATCCCTGAGGAGAAAAGGCAGGAGCTCCTGGAGCTGTACCGTGAAAGGGTATTAACTCTGGAGCAGATGATAACTGTTGTCACCACTGTTGTTAAGAAAAAAGAATCTACAAGCAGAAAATTCCTAATTGCAGTCAAGACTTCTGACAAAGACACTGTGTCAGCAGCAGAAGAGAAGGATGATGACTCCCCCAAAGAAGAACCATGGGAAACAGCCTTGAAAACCACAGTCGTTGACATGGAGGTTGGGGAGTTTCAGGGCCACAAGGTCTCTGTGTGGGACCTGCTCCACTCCAAGTACATCCCTGAGGAGAACCGAAAGGAGCTCCTGGAGCTGTACCAGGCAGGAGAGTTAACCCTTGAGCAGGTGAAAACCGTTGTCAGCACCATTGTAACCAAGGCAGAAGCAGCAAGGGCAGAGCAACTGGCAAATGCAAGTAGTCCAAGAGCAGAGTCAACAGTTGCAGAAGCTGAGCACACCCACCTGCAGGAGGACAGGACCTGGGAAGAGACCCTGAAGTCCACCACAGTCAAGATGTCAGTGGATGAGTTCCAGGGGAAGCAGGTCTCTGTGTGGGACCTGCTCTTCTCTGACTACATCCCTGAGGAGAAAAGGCAGGAGCTCCTGGAGCTGTACCGTGTGGGGACACTCACCATTCAGGAACTGGTGAGCACCACCAGCAGCATTGTGACAGACAGAAAAGAAAGGCATCTTGCGACCCTTCCCCAGGAGACAGTGGATCTCCTCCAGTCTGAAGGCTCTTACATTACTTTTGGCCCCTTCCAGGAGCAGAGGGTGTCAGTGTGGGACCTCCTGTCCACCAAGCAAGTCTCTGAGTACAAACGAGAGGCACATCTTGACACTTACGGCACAGGAGGACTGACTGTGAACAAGATCACCATCACCACCACCGTCATCACAGGCCCACAGCGTAAGAAGAGACACCACCAGGACCACTAGCACCACCCACCTTAGAAGAGGAGCGAGCTCTGCCTCCTGGGGCAGTCATGGCCTGGGCACTTGGGAGAGTTTGCTTTCCACATAAGTCAATTATGGGCAGGAAAGAGCAGTGACAAACCTGTGTGTGGAACAGGGAAGGTGCCTGGTTAAACTCCTTGCTGTCTCAACTACTACGTTGCTGAGATTTGTTTTGCTTTCCTGGAGGGGTTCTGGGGAGGGTCCAGGAAGGCTTGTGACGGCGGCTTTCTGCCATGTACACACAGGCACTGATGAAGAACAGGGAAATGTGGGGCAGGATCCAAGTCAGAGGGGTTGGAGACTGCCACGAACGGGAGCAGACAGAAACCCCAGTGCAGGAGCTGCGGGCAGCCCAACTGGCAGCCCCAGAAGAGCCTTTCCTGGAGGGGTTCTGGGGAGGGTCCAGGAAGGCTTGTGACGGCGGCTTTCTGCCATGTACACACAGGCACTGATGAAGAACAGGGAAATGTGGGGCAGGATCCAAGTCAGAGGGGTTGGAGACTGCCACGAACGGGAGCAGACAGAAACCCCAGTGCAGGAGCTGCGGGCAGCCCAACTGGCAGCCCCAGAAGAGCCACAGAGGGACAGACAACCTCTGCTCAGGATAGTTGAGACCCTGGCCCTGCTGAACGTCGGCAAGCAGCGGGGGCAGCACGTGTGGCTGTGGTCGCCCATGGGACATTTAGCCCTGAGCTGTCCTTCAGCTATGATTCAGCTCTGCTGCTGCAGCCTGGGGTCGTGGGGGTCTGCTGGGCTGCCGGAGCTCGCTGCACATGAGCACTGGGGGGAGAGGGGTTCTGGTGCCAGGGCTCTAACGCCTGCAACGGTGAGAGGCTGCTGGGTGCACTCACAGGAGCAGCTGTGCTTCCACGGGGCGAGAGACCACCGCACACAGGGCAGGACTGCTCCCATGTATGCCAGGGGAACCCCAAGCCCCTGTGTCCATGAAGGTCACTGCCCATCACGGAGGGAGAAGCACCCACGGGAGCACCCCCATGCTGCAGTAGTGGGGTGGCCAAGTGTGGCTCCCTGTCCCATGCCCCATGTGCACAGAGGTGTGCACCACAGAGCCGTGCATGCGTGTGCTGCAGAGTCATGTTCTGTGGCCACGCACATGTGCCACACAGATGTGTGCTGCAGAGCAGTGCACGCATGTGCTGCAGAGTGCGTGCACCAAGCCACGTGCGCAGGTACCGCAGAGTCACATGCCGCAGTCACGCGCACACGCGTGTGCGCAGAGCCGCAAGCGGGGCTGGCCGTGCCATGCCCTGGGGAGCCCTGTGCTGTGCGGAGGTGCCGGGGGGACACACAGGGCACAGCCCGCGGTGTGCGTGTCTGTGCGTGCGCATCCCTGTTACGGGGCTCTGTGTGTGCCTATGTGTGTAACACAAGGCTGTGACACCGCATGTGACACAGCTGCTGCCCTCTGCCGGCACCGTGGCCCTCAGCCAGGGCCTCAGCCTGACCAAGCCCTCAGCCAAGCCCTGAGCCAGGCCCTCAGCTGGGGCCTCAGCCGTGCCTGCGCCTCAGCCCGGGGCCCTCAGGCCGCAGACCCATGGCCGCCCTGCGCCACTCTCCTGGGCAAAGCTGCCCTCCACCTCTGCGCCCCGTCCCGCCTGGCTTGGCCACGTCAGCCCCGCACTGGCAGGGCCCTGGCCGTCGCGCAGCCCACCCGCAGCCCTCAGTACTGCTCAGCCAGGGAAGCGGCTCTGCCCAGCGACACCTTGCACAGCCTGTGGAGACAGACCGGACCCGCACACCTGTGCCACTCACTGGCTGCCCCAGTCTGGTCCCCGGGTGGGGATCCCCAGCATGGCCCCCTGCAGCTCGGATACCGCTAATCTGGGCTCCTACAGTGGATCCCCCCCGCCTGGGTCCCCCAGACATCCTGTGGGGTCTCATCAAGCCACCCAGCAGGTCCCCATAGTCCTCCTCTTGAGGCACCCCTGCCCACGGGCTTGGTCCTGGGCATGGCCTCCCTGCTGTGCACCCCAGTGCCAGGGCCTGTCGGGGCTCCCCAACTCCCCTGCCATCCACACGGGCCATGGCACTGGGGCCACAGGGCTCCAGTACACACAGGGATGTGTGCCCCAGCCCTGCCAGCCCTAACTAGAGATGGGGAGCAGCACCCCACTGCGCTGCAAGGCCCCGCTCTGCTCTGGAGCTCACACACCACACCATGCCCGCTGTTTTGTCAGCTCTCCACTCACAAGGGGACAGGGAGGACGCAAGCCAGTCCTTCAGCCAGGGACAGACTTCCCAGGGATGAGCCTCACCGCCAGGTCACACTGCCCCAGGGGATGGTGGCACATTTTTGGGGCCTGCTCACATCCTGAGAGTTGCAAGGGCTGTAGCCTCCCCCAGAGCTGCAGGCAGGTTCAGCCATTCTGCTGGGCATGCTGCCCGTGGTGTGGCTGGCACGTGGCCAAAGCCACAGTGAGTATCACCCACAGGGAGAGGCTAAGGGGGGAGCCCTGGATGTGCCTGCCACAGCTGTGGGTGTCTCTGGAGAGGGTTCCACGTACACAGAGCTCTGGAGCCATGCCAGAGCGCCGGGAGAGCCAGGCACACGGGCTGCCCCTGGGGCTGGCTGAATGGTCTCATCCCAGCCACCCTCACATTACACACGTGGACAGCCATAGGAGCCCTGTGTGCCACACAGAGCCCGCGGCCCTGGGGCATGGCCTGTGGCAGGAGCACCCATCCCTGCTGGGGAGGCATAGGAAGGTGCTGGCAGAGGTTTCCATGAGACATGACACTTCAGTCCCAGGGGAAACAGAGCCACTCCATCAGTGGAAGCTTACTAACAAAAAGACTAACACAGGGCTAATATGGGCATGCAGCTGCACAGGGACTTCCCAGACTTATCCACTCCGTTCCACAGAAGGAATGGAGTTGCTGGAAATTACTAGGAAGGGAGCAGAGACCAGAATATCATCTCCTAGAGTGTTCATTGTCCCCTCTCATTGTCACATCTTGTGAGGACTCAGAAGCATACGAATTATCATGGAATCATAGAATCATAGAATCATTAAGGTTGGAAAAGCCCCTTAAGATTATCAAGTCCAGCCATTAACCTATCACTGCCAAGTCCACCACTAAACCATGTCCTCAAGCACCACGTTTACCCGTCTTTTAAATACCTCCAGGGCTGGAGACTCAACCACTTCCCTGGGCAGCCTGTTCCAATGCCTGACTACCCTTTCGGTGAAGAAGTTTTTCCTAATAGCCAACCTAAACTTCCCTGGCGCAGCTTGAGGCCGTTTCCTCTCGTCCTATCGCTTGTTACTGGGGAGAAGAGACCGACCCCCCCGGCTCCAGCCTCCTTTCAGGCAGTTGTAGAGAGTGATAAGGTCTCCCCTCAGCCTCCTCTTCTCCAGACTAAACAACCCCAGCTCCCTCAGCTGCTCCTCGTAAGACTTGTTCTCTAGATCCTAGATGATGAAACATAGGGAAGGAAAGAGCTTTGGACTGAGTAAACTCCACAGATGGAGAGATGATCAATGTGGATGGCATAGCAGTTGTCAGTGGGGAGATGTGTTCGCCATCTTTTCCAGCTCAAGGATTGAGGGTTATTGCAGAATCCAGCATGCGGCCAGTTCAGGCCGAAGGCAGTAATTCTGCATACTCTGGGTAGCTGAGCTGAGGAACTCCCTGCTGCAGGATGTTCTAGGTGCTAAAGGTTTCTATGAATTCAAACAGCATTTGGAGTAAGCCATGGAGGAAAATCCATCAAGGGCTACTAAATAACAAGAGAGATCATTGTTTCAGTAGCTCCCAGAGACGCAAACCCCTGGGGCTTGTGAGGACGTACCAGAGAAGTGCTGGTATACGCTTGCCTTGTTCTCACGCTGCTTCCTACACACTTGCTGTTGGCTGGTGCCAGGTTACAGAGTTGGACAGGCCACGCAGATGCAGTGCCCCTGTGTCTTCTTGCAGGGAATTGGCACCAGCTTCTGCCACTGGCTCTGGGGTGGAACGAGGGGCCTGGACTGTGTGGGCAAGCAGAGGATGGTGGGCAGGAGGACTCAAGCAGCCAGGGTGGTGAGGGTTCTGAAAGGGGTCGGTGCCAGCTCCAGCCTGCCTGGGGATCCGAGGCTGGGAGGGTTCCAGATGGCTCCCCAGGACTCAGATTGCACTCCCACAGGAAGTGCTGAATTTCCAAAAAAGAAGCTGAAAGAAAACAGGACATTGTGTAAGGGAAAAGCTGCATACATTTGCATAGTTATAAGCTGGTTGCATAACTGAATGCATCTGAATAGTATCTGAATACTCTTTAGAGGCATGGGGGCAATAGGGGAAAAGAAAGGGTCAGGCAGCCTGAGTGTCTGCTGCCCAGTCCCTGCGAGAACACTGCACCACAGTGGATGTGCTGGGTAACTTCTCAGTTTCATGGGAGAAGACTGGGGTGGAGAGCAAAAGCCTCAGGACTTGACCTGCTGGAAAAGGAAGAGGAAACCCATCACTGTGCCCACAGGCCAGGTGAAGCCACAGCCGTGAGTGGGGAAGCAGGTAGAGTGCCCACAGCACAGCAGCTTTCCCTGTTGAGTGATGGTGCTCCCCACCCATGGGGGCCATAGACCTCCATGACAGTGCCCTCAAGTGTGGGGCATAGAGCCAGCCAGGCCCATTACCCCAGCTGGAGCACATCAACCCACCCGAACAAAGCAACCATCATTGGCAGGGCACTCCTGGGTCAGCATGCCTGCTCCCTGCTGGGCAGCAGCTTCCCATAGAAATCTTTCTGCAAAACGGGCAGGCTCCCTGCGCCACTGCTCTGGGCGCTCGTTCCAGCCTGCCACTTCCAGCAGCTAGAAACATCCTCCGAGTTTTCAGCCAACTCAGACCAATTTCCTCTTACGCAAAACCCATCCATCACTTTAAGCAGATCTCCTCCTGCTCCAATGTTTTTCACTGATAAAGCTACCCTGGGCAATCTTATCTCCCCTCAACGTCTGTTTTGACAAGCTATCAAGCTGGGC